CGACGGGCATGTTTGGCTTCCAGGATGAAGCGACCATCTACGACAACAATCAGCAACCGTACCCTTTCATCATGCAGATGGAGGCGGATGGGTCGAATTGGACAGTGCTGACGCAGAGTCGATGGGAGGACACTATGCCCTTGTATATCCCAAACGATCTTTTGGCGTCAGCCTAAAGAAAGACATCGACCGGGAGATACTCTTTTCAACATGTACATAGGTATGCAGCGCACTTGTATCTTATCTGGTAGTAGATTCATCGGACATGCTTGTTTTAGAAGAATAGATACAGATATACGTTGTTCTCTTATCCTTCCGTTCCCGGCAACGTGCTCACTTTTTTAAATAAGCATCAAACCAACCAGCTGCCTGGGCGAAACTCTTCTCCTTGGCCACTCTCTGCTGCTTAATGTCCATGTTACAGCGAACAGCGTATCCATGCTCGACATGCGAGTATACTGTTATCTCGTAAGGATGGCCCAGCTCGGACAAGATGTCTTCGGTCTCGCGACGTTTCTCGGTCGGGAAGAGGTAATCCGACGCTATGTTAAGTCAGTCCCTATTCTTTCCACTCCATACTCGTTGTTGGAACTCACACGCGGCAGAAATGCTCAATGGCCCCTGAATACCCTTCAACTCATCCACCTCTACATGGGTGGGATGGGCCATATAGCCTACGTCCAACAGCCCGGGCTTAAGGTATCGAGCGACATACTTGCCCCCATAGCAGTACCCAACCCCTCCAATGCGCTGGCAGCCAAGTTCCTGACGCATGTAGCGAAGGGTTCTGTCGATGATGGGGTCTGTCACTGGCGGGAGGTGGTTCTTCAGCCAGGCCATGACGTCGAAGTTCCCCTCGCGCTCGACGGGGACCGGATCGCCATGGAAAAGATCCGGCAGGACCACAAAGTAGCCATTCGCGGCAAATTGGTCGGCAATCAGCTGGGAATTGACCAGTTTGGTACCGAAGATGTCGGAGAGAAATAGGATGGCATTGTGAGTTGATTTGTCGGGAGGGTAAGACACATAGGTGAGGACTATTGCAGGAGATATGTACATTAGGATGAGACCTTGGGGAAATCAGGATGGAGCAGGGAAGCGCCTTACTGTCATCTATTTTCTTTAATTCTCCCTTGGGGGTACCACTGTGCAGATGGCCAGCAATGCAGCATTGGGCTGGAGGAAGAGAAGTCATGCTTTCAGACTTGCTGTCGCAGTCAATGTTGCCTATACAAACAAAATCAATCGGTCGGCAGGGATATGGAGATACGAATGCTTATTTCTCTCTCCCATCCCAGCTTTTGGGGGAGGGCTGCCATTTCCGGTGATTGCCTTGCCTGCGTGTAGTAGGGCTTTGCATCGCCATGAGCTCATCCGTTTTTTTTTTTTTTTTTTTTTTTCGAGGAAAGGGGAGTGGACACGCCAATCGGGAGACACGGTGGCATCCCGGTTCCATCCCTGTCCGGACATGCAACCGTGGAACGTTGACTATCATTACTGGCATTCCTCGGGAGAGAGTTCTGGTTTTGCGGCCACGGAAACGCCTTCCCCCTTGCATTCCTTCTAGGGCTGAAGGGGAAAGAGAGGAGGAATGGCACGGAAGCGGTCTGAAGCTGCTCAAGCTTGACTGCACGCCCCTTTCCTCCCTTTCTCTCTCAGTCTCTCCCTAATTTGCCCGTGAAGTACATACTGAGGTCAGGCCCTCCTTGGGGGCTTTTGTGCTTCACTTGTTCTGCCTAAGCACCGATACTGCAGCGGCCATGCCACACCTGTTCGCCAACTCGGCCTTTGGCAGGATCGCCTACCTTGTATCCGGTGGCCGTCTATTCAAGCCCCGCGAACTCAGCTCCGACTTCACTTTGCCTACGCCATACCGGCAGGCAGTCGACGCCGGGCCAGTCCAGCCATCACAAGAGAAGAAGAACACCTCCGATGCGGATGGAAGTACGTTATTTAGCCATGCGCTACCCCCCGACGAGGCGTGCAAGGAAGTTGATGGGATCCAAGGGGAAGCCTTCCCAACACCGCCCGAATCATCGGGGCAGTCATCATCGTCGTGGATTGATCCCGAGGTGACGCCAGAGGGGACCATTGTGGTGGACTGGTACTCCCCGGATGACCCAGACAATCCGCACAACTGGTCATTCGCGGCCAAGTTGCTGGTATATGTCGAGGTAAATCTGTTCACCTTTCTGGTCTTCATGGCCGCTGCCATCTTCTCTTCGGCCGAGGGCGAATTCGAGACTGTCTTCGGGGTGACGCAGACCATCAGCGCCCTGGGGCTGGCACTATATGTGCTGGGCTACGGCATGGGGCCGATGATCTGGAGTCCCATGTCCGAAGTACCCTCCGTGGGTCGCAACCCACCGTATGTGATCTCTGTCACCGTGTTTCTCATTCTCGCAATCCCCACAGCCCTAGTCAACAACGTGCCAGGGTTCCTGGTCCTGCGATACTTGCAAGGCTTTTTCGGCTCCCCCGGACTGGCCACAGGAGGTGCATCTCTGGCAGATGTGACCTCCATCCCGAACCTCCCCTATGGTCTATATATATGGGGAGCATGCTCCATTGCTGGTCCCGCCATTGCGCCGACAATTTCGGGATTCAGTGTTCCCGTAAAGGGCTGGCACTGGTCCATGTGGGAGATCTTATGGGCAGCCGCGTTGTGCTTCGTGGCCCTGGTATGTACTCACTACTTCCCTCGTGTCGATTGATGGCCATCGTCGGCATTAACGGACATGTCTCGTGCTGACCATCGTCGCCTTTTCCCTTTTCTTGCCAAAACCAGCTCTTTCTCCCGGAAACATCTGCACCTGCCATCTTACACTTGCGAGCCAAGCGGTTGCGCCAGCTGACGGGCAACACGGCCATCCGGTCGCGGTCGGAGATTGAGTCGCAGAACGCCAGCCCCATGCAGGTTGCCTACGATGCACTAGTTATTCCATGGAAAGTTAACGCACTAGACCCGTCCGTGCTCTTCACGACAGTCTACATTGGGCTAGTGTACGCCATCTTCTACTCCTACTTCGAGGTGCTGCCGCTGGTATACCTGGACATCTACCACATGAGCCTGGGCGAGCTGGGGCTAATCTTCCTCGGCTGCGTGATTGGCACGCTACTAATACTCCCCTTTTACTATGCCTTTGTGCATATCTCGCTGAACAAGGCCTTCCGGCGTGGTCAATTTCCCCATCCCGAGCACCGGCTCATCCCCGCCATCGTGGGCAGTGTGTTCATCCCCGTGGGACTCTTTCTGTTCGCCTGGACCTCGCGGGCTAGTATTCACTGGATTGTACCCACCATCGGCTTGGTGATCGAGGTATCCGGCATGACGTTGGTGCTGCAGTGTATTTTCAGCTACCTGTCCGTAGCGTATCCGAAGTACAGCGCTAGTCTGTTTGCCATCAACGATCTGGCGCGCGCCAGTCTGGCCTTTGCGGCCATCCTGTGGTCTGGCCCGCTGTATGCTCGACTTGGAGTGGCACGGGGCACGACCCTGCTGGCTGGTCTGACAGTAGGCTGCATTGTGGGAGTGCTGGTGCTCTACTGGTTTGGACCGGCATTGCGAAGTCGCAGTCGGTTTGCAACTTAGCCGAATTGCCCCAGAAGAGTAGCCTTTGCGGTGGAATATTCCAGTTTCACAACGCGTCACGTTCCCCAGAACATTCATGATAATAATAGAATTTCTACTCTGAAATCCATGTAAAATTAATTCTTGCTTCGTCTTTCAGAACGAATGGAAACACTACATGGAGTAAAGATATAATGACCCCTTTATCCATGCTGATCGTCATTGCATCATGTGTTCTAGTGCTAGGACATGAGCTAGGGTCATCGTCCTATGGAGAGCCATCCTAAAAAAAATTTGTTATGCTGTTGTTCTCTGTAGACGTCGGCGCAGTCGTAGCAGAACTCCTGGGCAGTCGGTAACATGTATTCTTCACTAATGGGATCCCTTTAATTAGTTACTGCTATGCAGAACTAACGTTCCAAAGATAAAACTTCTTCGTTCTGCACGCTTGAATTGTTCATGGAATACTGGTTGAATTGAGAATACGACATTCAAGAAGTCTATCTGACAAGAAAGGATGATTGCGCTTCACCACAACCTCAGCCTTCACTTAACAAGAACATGTATCAGAGCCTCTCATAGGCTTTAAAAGCTTGTTGGGCATTTACTAAAGACGTAATATAAGAATGATATTGCTCTTTCCGTCAGTCGACAAGTCAATCGGATTATATATTTTGGAGTATCGGTATATATATACTTTGGGGTCCTACAGCATGGCAATTCTAGTCCTGTCAAGAGAAATACTTATCTATAAACTGGATCTTGACACTCTTTTCTCCTTCCCACAGAGATCAAGATAAAATTGATATCTTCATACTTCTTACACTATTACTATATCAGATATGTTTTACCACTGCACAGACACTCAGGAAATTTAATTCTAGATATCTATTAAGTCGGCCTGGTAAAGTACCACTAACGAAAAAAGGATCTGCATCTCACACATGTGAATAAACACTATTAAGAAAATAACCTATCAATCACTATAGCCAGTGGGTACCTTTTATCCGCAGACAGGTTTTAAGTAGACGGTAGACTATGCTTATGGCCGAATACTGTTACTCTTCGTCTTTCACAAGTCTCTTTCTCAATTCATTTAGTAGCTCACATCATCAAGTCCGGTTCAGCGTATACTGCCGTCTAAGGTGTGAACCATAGAACTATTCCAGTAGGCTTGCTCCCTTGCATCCCCCTTGCTTCGAAATCATACCAATAGGGAAATATGGATCTATTACCCTGCCACAAAAAAAAGATCAAACTAAATGAATCGAGAGGGCGGAATAATGAAAGAATGATAAATGGAATGAATGAAGAAAGGAACCAAAAAAAAAAAAAAATAATTCTACTAGGACAGATCAGATAAAATATAAAGATCGATGTTCAATTGCCTTATGATCCTTTCGATTAAAGTTAAAGAAACTATATAGTTTCACCGCGACAACAGATCCAACGCGTGGACGCGCGGCTGGTACCCGTACAATGGATTGCAAGCCCATTTCCAGCACCACACAGGGGCATAGGTGAAGGCAATCCGGCGTGCCAGTGGCCCCAGCCCGTACGGAAGGCGTCCTGTATGCACCTGTGCGAAAATGCTGGAATAGTACACAAGGTTGCGTGCCCGTGGCTCTCGGCTTTTGCGGAATTCCTGCAGCAAGTCCTGCAGCACCTGCGGATCGCCCGACTGGCCGGCAAAGTAGGTGTGCAGCAGGTTGGCCAATTCTCCCACGTCCTCAATTGCCTGGCAAGCGCCCTGCAGCGGAAAAAATCTGATTAGCCGTGTTTCCCTTCCCTCCTCCCCCTGGCGGAAGGATTGTCTCAGAGAAATGGGGTTTTACCTGACCAATGAAGGATGTCATGGAGTGCGCCGCTGAGCAAGACAATGTCGAGTTAGTCTCCGATCCATTCATTCTTTTTTTTTTTTTTTGCTTTTATCTTTCGAGGGTCAGATTGGCTTCTTACAGTCTCCCACTAGGGCCACGCGGCCATGCGCCATCTTCGGGAAGGCGGTTTCCTCAAACACATCACTCGCCGTCACGCGTTCCGCCACATCGACCACTGCAGATGAGAGTGAGTCAGTCAGTCAGCCACTCAGTCACTCAGTCCACTAGGAAAATGTGAAAGGGGAAAGAGTGGGTGGGAAGTAGGAGGGGGAAGAAAAGAAACAAGTGAGACATGCCATCGCGTACGGTGTGATTCTTGCCAAACGGATGGAAGCGGTGTCCGTAGCTTTCGTTGATCATTTCCTTAGTGGCACCTTTCCAAGTGGACCGTGTGGTGGTCTTGGCTTCGGAGGGCTAATCCAGCAATTACAATTCATTAGTCTGGAGTCTACTGGTGACAGCTGAGACAAGGGTAGGTGGGAAGAGGAGGAGGGGGAGGAGGTAAGGGAGTGACGGACCTTGACCCCGACAAACCATTGGCGATTTTCGGTACATGGCCAAGAGGTGAGAATGCAGTCATCGTAGAAAACCCAGGTTGCCACCCCGAGATCGTTAGGTCCGAGATGCTCTAGCGGATAGGAGATGCCCGTCATGTGGGTGCGCCCGGTGAACCGGATGGTGTTGACGCCTGCCAGCCCTTGCTTGTCGGCAAGGAGCCGCCGTACGATCGACCGAATGCCATCGGCGCCCACGAGCACCTCACCGCTGAACTCGCGGCCATCTGCCAGGCGAATCTTGACCGTCGGAGAGTTGGGCTCATCCTCAATGCCAACAACCTCAGCTCCCAGAATGACGTGCTCCGGATCCACCCGGTGGTACAAGGCGCGGTGCATGCTGTGCCGGGGCATCGAGTACATTGAATAGCCATATGTTGGCTCGAGCCATTCAAAGTCAAGTAGACTCCATCGGGTAGTGTTGCGATAGACTTGAATCTTTCGCAGCGGCTGGCCTTCCTTCCGGATAATGTCCATGAAGCCAAGTTGGTCGAGCAACCGGAGAGCATTCGGGGCCAGCGAGATGCCTGCACCCACGGGGGTCACCTCGGCAGTACGCTCGAACACCTTGTAGCTGAGCCCAATTTTCTTACAGATGTTGGCCAGCGTCAGCCCGGCAATGCCGCCACCGACGATTAGGACCTGGACATCGGCCTTAGGAGCCATTGTGCGATGACACTCTAATGGGAGAGAGATAGAAATCCAAAGGGAATAGAAAAGATAACCGAGGAAATAGGGCGAAGCAAAGAAAAGGGATAGAGAAAGTGGTAGTGAGAGAGCTCAGATGATAAGCCAAGGGAAGAAGATTAACAACCGCTTGATTGGACTGTTAGTGAAGATGGAGTTTGGGTTTAGTTCATCGCAATCTGCTGGTACTTCTTAAGTATCACACACAATGCCCTTACAAGTTTAGCAGGTTTGTATTGTTTCCAGTTCTTGTAGATTTTGCAATGCGGCGGCAAAACAGGTGCAGATGGCCGCAGCGCCCAGAGACGACCCTCTTTCGAGTGTCTTTCGAGTTCCTTATCTTCGTTGTTCGCATGCAGACCTAGTTCTGCCGCTCTTTGCAGGATATGGTGAACAATGGTGATCCGCACTGTAACACCCAGAAAGGGTAAATACATGTCCTTCAACTCTCGTGCCTTGCATCTGTCGACTCGAAAAGGACAACCGAAGATACGGCTAAACAGACTCCAAACTAGCGGTGGCCGGTGCGGTCTAACCAAGGTTTGCTTGACATTCTTTCATCAAAATAAGCTCTAAACTCTCTGGTATACCAACATGAGTGTAGTAAGGGTCTTTACTATCGTCATCCCTTACTATAACAATCGTGTCAATGAGAAGTGCTCTGTTCTTCAGTCTGTTCTGGTCTAGCAGCACCAGCACCAGCACCAGCGTCGTGTGCAAATTCAGGGGCGTTACAAGGCATTTTAACGCAGGGATGAATACTTCGACAGGTACCAGATAAGATCTATTACTGAAGTAGGTAAAGAAACTACTAAAAAAGACGCACATATCACCATAGTATCCAATCTGCCGCTTTCCCCTTCCCCTCCTACACAATGCCAATTCGTTCACATGGACGCAGATTTCCGAGGCGTGAGGCGAATGCGCGCATCGCCTTGAAGCCAAGGACTGCCGACTTTGCTAAAGTCCATACGAGAGACATCGATTTTGGCCGGCCCCTGGCTTCCCCATTGGAAATCGTAGTTCTTGACCAGACGCGACACCAGTTCACGCGCGATTATGCCAGCCATATTCTCCCCAGGGCACCGATGGGAGCCCGCGCCAAATTGCAGGAATGCCGCATCGGTGGCGTTGTTAAGGTTCTGCAGGCGCGCCGTTGGGTGCAGCCAGCGCTCCGGCAGCCACTGCTGCGGCTGCTCATAGATCTCGGGGTCATGGTGGGTGAGATAGGGCGAGGTACACACTACCCAGTTCTCGGGAACCATATAGCCATCCTCCAGTTGCACAGGGCGATGGGTCGTACGCCACATGTGCACACCCGAGTAGTGACGACCACTCTCCTTGACGCACGCCAGTAGCACAGGAGACTGGTGAACGTCCTCGTTACTTTGAAAAGACTGTCGGATGGCCTCCACGTACTCTGGGTTCCGGATCAGCTGCGAATACTGTCAGCTTGGTGATACTTATAGGCTGGAAGAGAGTTATAATAGCAGGCATTGAGCAAACATACCTCCAGAGCAGTCCAGGCTATGCTGGCCACAGTGCTCGTGTGGGCGGCAAACATGAGCACCGTATGGTGCGACGGATAGTATTCTTGCAGATGGGCCGTTCGCGGATCTTCCAGTGTATAGGTGATATAGTCCAGCGAACCCTTCCATTTTTCTGGGTTCTGGCGGCGGATCTCCATCTGTTGGGCGAAGATCTCAGCGAAACGATCTCTGGCCTTGCCCAGTCGTCGGGCTGGCGGGTGAGGAAACCAGTCCGGCAGTAAGAGATTCAGTGGGTGGCCGATCTCGTCCTCCATCCGGTGCACAAGATCGTAGAGCTCGTCTACGTGTTCATCGTAGAAGTCTTGTCCCATGAGAGTCCGCACAATCACCCGATGCACATACTTGGACGCCTCTTCGAAGACTTTGATGTCCGATTGCTGGCTCCATTTCAGCAGCGCCTTATCCGCCTCTTCGCCTGCAAGCTCGGTGTAACGATCCAGTGTCACCTTGCGATTGATACCACGATTTAGAGAGCCCACCAGATTGCGGAAATGGTCAAAATACCCAGGAATGGCAATTTTCTTCAAGAAGATGCCCTGTGGAAGGTCAGAAGAGTGTTCTTCTCTTTACAGTAGGAAGAAGGAGGGGAGGAAAATAATGCCTACAATACCGCCACCAAACGACCAAATGTCTTCCTTGACATCCACGTACATGCGATTGAGCTGGGTACCTCTCAAATAGACAATGTTCGCAAACAGTATCTTGACATGGAAAATGGGGCCACACTTGCGTGTCGCATCTTGCACGAAGGCGACGGGGCGATTCAGAAAGGCTAGTGCGTCGCCAACTAAAGGATATCCCAGTCTGGGTGATGGGAATGCCTTCGAGCCTCCAGATTGGCGCAACTGAAAGACCACCAGTAAGAATAAGAGGGCTCCTGCCACGACTATGGGCTGCGCGAGCAATTGCTCGTCGTCGGCCAAGCGGGCCTGTATAGCATCAATCATGCTCTCCATCACTGGTAATCGGCAGTTGGACAGATTCTGAGACGAAATCAAGGCTAGAGGCAAGAGGTGGACAATCTATGTCTAGGATTGCTCATATGGTTCCTACCCAAGACATAAAAGTCCTGTGGGCCTCCGCTTGGTCTGAGGTGAGCCGGTTGCGCCGCAGGAAATGCACGCGGAGTCAGGGCACCCCCCAAGACAGGAAGTTCGAGACCGGCGATCTGCAATGTTTGGCTGCAAGAAGGAAATACTCCCGGTTTCTGTATTTCGGAGGGGAGATATTAAAAGTCTGGTGCGGGGAAGACCATACAGGTCGCCCAGCCATATCGTTCGACGATGGTACTGGCTGCAGGAATTCCCACCGCAATTTGGGCTCGAGGTCTGGCAGCCAGTACCACACATGATGGTAGCGGTGGGTATCTTCCAACCTGGCTTATGTCCTTAGTGGGAAAAGGCAAAGAAAGCCCCTACATATGCACATTCTCCCGAAGCAGGTGCAGAAGAAAGTCCCGTTGACCTGAAGTAGGTGCTGCTGGAGATCGACAACCTACCTCCTCGCAGCTCGGAATGCTCACTCGGCCCGACAGAGATGGCAGATCACCTTCTTGTCTGAGTTTGCTGCAGCACCAAGCCAACTACCAGGGAGTCGCCAAGATCTAAATTCGCTCTCATCTGATGCTTCTACACCTGCGCCAGCTCGACCAGAAGCGCTTACCCTGCTAGATTCATAGTTCCGAAGAGGCCCTGCGCCTTCCAGCCCTTGCACCCGCACCGCCCTCTCAGGTTCGCCTGGAATCACCTGACTACACTACTAGTACTGGTTGTCGAGAGCATCGTACACATAACCAATGAACTCACTTTAATTCCTATCTACGTTGAAACATCAGTGTCAGGCTTGGTCTGTTATTAAAGTCCTCTGGGGAAAGCATTGATGGTCACTCGTTCAAGTCATGTGTATAGCTTCATATTTCCGGAGTGGGCAAGCGGTAGAAAGCTCGAGTGGGCGGTCAGATTTTCCGTGGCTAACAAACTTTATCGAAAGTTGCCTGTGGGGACCTTTTGCAGCCGCACGAGTGTTTAGTGGCCTTCCTTCCATGCAGGGCTTCCCCAGGCTATTTTCATGGTCGATACCACTTTGGCACTGTTTTCAAATCTCCACAGAAAGTTGCCTGCTATTATCGAAGAATGCTAGAGTTACCTGTGAACCAATCAATGGTCACACACTCTACGTTCGACATCGTGTTGCTAGCAATCTTGTTTCACGGGGGTTAGAGTCCTCCTTAGTAGACCCAACCCTGATTAAGTGATTGTCATGCAGTATCCGAGATGCTGCAGAGCTGCAACAATGAAAGAGGCGAACAATCAGAGGCACCCAAAGCAAGGGTGTCTGGGGATGAAGAACAACTCTGGAACAATGGATACATGGGCTGAGTGCTTGAAGATCGTCTCCTCACTGCCCAAGATTAGACACCGGGGTTATAGAGTATATCCGCCCCGTACTCCGCGATGGATCCCGTCGAAAAAAGAACTTGGCCCAATTGCTTCTCCTCTGATTCCTGTTTTGAACCCATTCGCGTGAACCAAATTCAACTACCACACGGCAGCTTGATAGTAACGAGGCTAACCTCATCTCTCTGTTGACTACACCAATATTTTGCCATCATGCACTCGATCACTCCCACGGAAGTCATTAAACTGCGCCAACTGCTGGCGGGGACCGATGCTGACGTTCTCACCGAGGGCGAACCCGGATACGCCGAAGGAATCAGGCGCTGGAGTGACACATGCGAAAAGAAAGCTGTCAGTGGACCGTGGGGAAGCAACACTCTAATGAGGTTATGCTGACTGTCAATTCTTATAGGGTGCTGTAGTCCTTCCCACTACGGCTGAGGAGGTCTCGGCCGCCGTAGTCTTTGCAAGTAACCACCAGATCCCCATGGTGGTTCATAATGGTGGTCACTCTACCAGCGGCGCCTCCGCAACGGAAGGCGGGATCGTCATCAGCATGACCAAAATGCGCCGCGTCGTGGTAGATCCCGAACGCAAAACCATCACGGCCCAGGGGGGCACCGTGTGGGAGGATATTGACCGCGCGGCGGCTCCCTACAAGCTGGCCACGGTTGGCGGCACCGTCAACCATACGGGGGTTGGTGGGCTTACTTTGGGAGGAGGTTATGGTTGGTTGACAGGCCGCTATGGGTTGACCATTGACAATTTGCTGGGAGCCACTGTCGTGGTGGCGGATGGTCGCATCTTGAAGACCTCCGAGACGGAGAATCCGGATCTGTTCTGGGCCATTCGTGGTGCTGGTCAGAACTTTGGTATCACCACCGAGTTTATCTTCCAAGCCTATGACCAGACGAACGAAGTGTATGCTGGCCTGCTGAGCTGGCCGGCGCAGTGCCTGCCCCAAATCATTGAATTTGTCAACCACTTCGAAGACGACACCAACAAAGGGGATATGGGCATCTTCTTTGGTTTCTGCGGTGCCATGCCCCCTGGCCGGGTGAGCATCGTGGCGGCCATCTTCTACAATGGACCCCAGGACGAGGCCGAGCGGCAATTCGACCCCATTCTTAAACTTGGGCCTACCATCAACACGGCGAAAATGATGCCCTATGAGCAGTTGAACAGCATCCAAAACCCCATCGCCACGTATGGTGGTCGCAAGTCGTTCAGTGGGGCCTTCGTCAAGCTGCCTCTGCAGGTCGAGTTCTTCCAGGAACTACTGGAGGACTACGGGACGATGATCAAGACCTATGATGGGGTCAGTGCCACCGCCGTTCTCTTCGAGTTGGTTTCGCACAAGAAGGCCATTCAGGTGCCCAAGGATATCATGTCTTACTCGACCCGGGGTCCTTGGTACAATGTTGGTTGTGCGTTCCGTTGGGAAGACGCCAGCCTGGACAAGATAATGCGCGAGACACAACGCGCCCTGATGCGGAAGGTTGGAGATCGCGCCGGTGGAGGTGCCCATGCCCGAGCATATGCCAATTACTCGCACAGTGACGGCCGAGCGAAAGATGTGTATGGGGACAATCTGCCCCGGCTGCAGAAGTTGAAGAAGCAGTACGACCCCAAGAATGTGTTCAAGAAGTGGTTGAACCTGCTTCCTGAAGAAGATGTTCAGGTTTAGTCGGATATCAGTTCGATGCAATAAATATGGATCTGGTTCATGACCTTAGTATACTTTAGTATGTAAGATGACAAAACAGTAATCCTCATACATGGGCTACACACCATAGCAGAACAACCGCCTTTGTCCCTCTCCCCCCCCCCCCCCCCCCCCACTAAGGGTTCTTTGCTTTCACGTCTTTAGTTGAAGGGTTTACAGTATTCAGAATAGTAAAGTTGGACGAGAAATGAGTCTTCTTAGGACTGCCTACTCAGCTTGATGAATTGATTCTATATTCGCTCTACTGGGAAACAGCCAAGAACTTCACTCAGGCTCGGCTTCCCTCAAGTTACGGCTTTGCGTGATCGGACAAGATATAGACAGATCCCTTCTTTCAGCACTACCATGCCGACTTCGTACATACTTTGGACTGATACAGGATGGCTTTGTCCGCCACATGCCGCCGATGCAGCAAGGTCGGATTACGATGGTGGCTCCCACGAGTCCCTTGCCTGCCGGGAGGTCGTCGGGAGTCTAACCTGCCTGCTTTGCTCGTCCGGCTCCCGTAAGGGGGGGTCGGTCAAGCCTCCTACGTCGAACACTTTCGAACCTTGGGGTTATATGCCAGACGCATGCTGGACAAATAGAACGAAGATATTCAGCTGTTGTTCAGTTATCAGACTTGGCCAGCATCCCATGCCGGAGGAGAGGGCGAAGGGGCTGACTAGTGTGGCCCCAAGTGACCCAAGCATCCCGCGGAGAAACGTGCAGTCTTTCGGTCTAGAAGAGTAACTGCAGAACCTCCTGAGACAGTCATGGATCGGCCAGCCAAGTTACTGAGGACGAAGCTCGCAGATTGCAGTGAACAGCAGATACCACCCGGCGGTGGGAAAGGGGGAGGGGTGTGGGTGGAACTACGTGTGGACAGCCCGAGTAGCAGCAGCAGCAATATCTGAATCTGGAATATCAATTGCTACCCTTATTCACCTCCATCTCCGTCGTGACTTTAAAACTCTCTGTCTTTCCCGCTTTCGCTCATTCAATACGTAGAATATATTTTCATGCCTCTCGACTGGACCGTTCCCTTTTCCGCCTTCTTGCCCTAATATTGATAATAATAACTTTTCCTTCCCTCTCGACCCTTCTATCCGCGCCTGGAAAGCCATGGCTGGGCATTTAAGAGGGAGACGAACTTCCCAAGAGCCAGAGGTCTCCACGAAGGAGTCCTCGCCGGGTTTTTCTCCTTTTGAGTCAGCGTCCTCGGTTACCTCCATCGATGGTCCCAATCCGGCTGTCCTGGTAGGCTATGCCTGCCGTGTTGCAGGTGCAGACCGGCCCAGCAAGCTCTGGGAAAATATCGTCCAGCAGAAGGATGTGCGATGCAAAATGCCCGCGGATAGGTTCAACGTCGACAACTTCTTTCATCCAGATGGCACCCATAAGGGCACGGTCAGTGAGAGTTCCCAATCCATACCCCTGTCGCTACGCTGTGTCCGAGCATGTTACGCTGATGAACGCACCAGACCAACGCAAAATATGGCTACTATCTCGATCAGGACCTGGGTCATTTTGATCGAAGTTTCTTCCGGATCTCAGGCAAGGAGGCCGAGGCAATGGATCCCCAACAACGACTGATCCTTGAGGTGGTTTATGAGGCATTGGAAGATGCCAGAATTACTTTGGAAGAAATCAACGGCTCACGCACTTCTGTGCTATGCGGGTCCTTTACCAATGATTATAATGCGATGCTGACCAAAGATCTCGAACACTATCCGAGTTACACCGTGACCGGCACGGGCAATGCTATCCTGTCGAATCGTGTCTCCTACGTCTTCAATCTGCAGGGAATGAGTCTCACCATTGATACTGCCTGCTCCTCGTCCCTGGTGGCCTTTCATCTGGGAGCACAGTCTGTCCAAAGTGGGGATTGCGATACATCCATAATTGTGGGCTCAGCCCTCCATTTTGACCCAAACATCTTTATCACAATGACAGACTTAGGCATGCTCTCCGAGGAAGGCCGTAGCCGTGCCTTTGCCGCTGGTGTCAAGGGCTACGCGCGGGGTGACGGTGTCTGCGCAGTCATACTACGCGGACAGCGACAGGCGGAGCTGCATGGCGATGATATTCGAGCGGTCGTTCGAGCGACCGGATCCAACCATGACGGGACAAAACAGGGCATCACTCTCCCTTCCGCCGCGGGACAAGAGGAGCTCATCAGGAAGACATACCAATCGGCAGGCTTGGACCCGGCTGACACCACTTACGTAGAAGCCCATGGAACGGGAACTGGTCGCGGAGATCCCCTGGAAACGGAAGCCTTGGGGACCGTGTTTGGCTCCAAGCGACGCCAGCAGCCACTATATGTGGGCTCGATTAAGAGCAACATCGGTCATACAGAGGGGGCCTCTGGACTGGCCGGCATTATCAAGGCCACCATGGCCCTGGAGAAGGGCCAAATTCCCCCCAACATGCATTTCAAGGTTCCCAACCCCGACATCAAGTTTGACGAATGGCAGATCCAGGTTCCCACTCAGCTGGTTGATTTTCCCCTCAACGCACACGGTCACCGGCGCGTCAGCATCAACTCTTTCGGCTATGGTGGTGCCAATGCACATGTCGTACTGGAGGATTACCGGCCTCACACCATCCAGGAACGACCGCCTATAGCTATCCCAGCCGCCTTCAAGGCGGCGGCGCACGAGCGCCCGTTCCTTGTGCCTTTGACCTCCCATACGGATAAAGCTGGGAACCTCTGGACCGAGAAGCTCGTGGAGTATCTGGACAAACACGAGGGCTGCGATATAGCCGACTTGGCCCTAAGTCTGTCCACCTCCCGCTCGATGCACGCCCAGCGGTCTTATGCCATCGGAAAGAATGTCACCTCCATCAAGGATAGCTTGCGCAAAGTGCCGGCCTGGACCAAAGCCAACAAGCAGTCCCCACGACTGGGGTTCGTCTTCACGGGTCAGGGTGCGCAGTGGTACGCCATGGGTCGCCAGCTAATGCAGGAATCTCCAATCTTCCTTCAGACCCTGCAACGGACGGACCAGGTGCTCAAAGCGCTTCCCGATGGACCCCAATGGTCGGTTGTGGAAGAGCTCTCCCGGACCAAGGAGGACTCCCAACTCAATCAGACTCACCTGTCACAGCCCATTTGCACCGCTTTACAACTGGCAATTCTCGAGCTTCTCAAGAGTTGGGGTGTCGAGCCCACCGCCGTTGTCGGACACTCGTCCGGCGAGATGGGCGCCGCTTATGCAGCTGGCATTCTCTCCTTCGAAAGCGCCATGTACGCCGCGTACTACAGGGGGCTCCACATGTCCAGTGGCGCTGCACAGGCCGGTCCAGATGCTGTTCCTGGAGCCATGATGGCCGTTGGTCTGGGTGAGACAGAGGCCCTGGCTGAGTTAGAGGCCTACAAGGGCAGAGCTGTCATTGCCGCCGTGAACAGCCCGTCCAGTGTCACCTTGTCCGGCGATGAGGATGCCATTATCGAAGTCCAGAAGAACCTGGAAGCCCGCAAAATCTTCGCCCGCCGCTTGCAGGTCGCGCAGGCCTTCCATTCTCACCACATGTTCCCTCTGGCCCCAGCCTACGCCAAGGCACTGAATGACTGCCCGGGCTTCTCGTCGCAGCCCTCCGATAAGGCCCGCATGTTCTCCAGTGTGACGGCGCGCGTAGCCGATGCCGATCAGATGGGAGCGGAGTACTGGACGTCCAACATGACAGGGACCGTGCGCTTTTCTGATGCCCTGGTGGGTATTCTGTTGGACGACTCGGAGAATCAGAATGTGGATGTGCTGGTGGAAATCGGACCCCATCCAGCCCTCAAGGGGCCGGCCCGGCAGGTGATGAAGAGTCTGAACATGGACCTGCCCTATTTCGCTTCCCTCACGCGTGGCACTCCCGACTACGACGGCATCCTTGGGCTCGCCGGGCAACTCTTCCAGGTTGGCTATCCAGTGGACTTGCCAGCTGTCAACAGCGATGCCTACCTGTCCGAGTCGGGTCTTATCGGCATCTCGCCTCGAGGCCGTCGCCTGAAGGACCTCCCCAGCTATGCCTGGGATCACTCCGAGCGCTACTGGGCAGAAACCCGATTGATCCACAACCACCGACTGCGCATACATCGCCACAGTCTGCTGGGTCATCAGATGGCCGGTTCCATCGACAACCACGTACGGTGGCGCAACTATCTGCGTCTGCGCGAGCTGCCGTGGCTGGCAGATCATGTCATCGACGGCAAGGTGCTCTTCCCGGCGGCAGGCTACATGAGTCTGGCCTTCGAGGCTGTGGCGCGCACCCGCGGAGGCATTCAGCCGGCGCAAGGGTTTGCCTTGCGCAACGTGTCCATCAAGGCGGCGTTGGTGCTCGACGACTCGGACATGGGCACGGAATTGATCGTGGACCTGCAACCCCAGGTCACCTCCGCCATGTCACGATCCGATACTTGGTACGAGTTCAAGATATTCTCTTATGACAACCAGTACAACTGTACGGAGCATTGCTCGGGACTGGTGGCCGTCGACCAACCGTCCACTATCCTCGCCGCCCCCGATCGCGACCAGCGCCTGAAAAGCAGCACAGCCTCTGCGCCTGTCAGTCGCTATTATCGCCATCTCAGCGACATCGGCCTGCAGTATGGGGACGAGTTCCGCTTGTTGACCGGCAGCATCGAATCCGGGCCCGGCTTTGCCTGCGCCAGCCTCACTTTCAGTCCGGATCAATATGCGCAGCAACCAGCGGATGTGACCTTTGTGCATCCCACGATGCTGGATGCCACCTTCCACACTATCTTCCCGGCTCTGGAGCAAGTTCTGGGTCATGACCTGGATTCCGCCTTTATTCCTACCTTCGTGGAGAGCTGCCACATCTACCCGACCATGCTGACCCTTAAGGATGCTGTCGGGCCGCAGGAGGTGTGGGTGGACACCGCAACGCAGCAGTCGGGCTTCCGCGCGGCCATCAGCCAGCTGCACGTCGAGATGGCGGCCACTGGCCAGCCGCTTCTGGCCTTCTCAGGCCTGCGGGTGACTTCGCTCGGCAGTGGCAACGATTCCAATGACCGGTCTTTGTTCTTCCGTACACGCTGGCAGGTTGCCTTCGATCAGCTCAGCCCTGATACCCCCCGGCTGGCAAAGACTTCTCGGGCGGAACTGGTCGACATGTTTGTTCACCAGCATCCCAACACCGAGATTCTCCATGTCACCAATGGGGTCGAGGAGACGGAGCAAGTTCTTCAGGCCCTGAGTGGCCCCAGCCAAGAGCGACGCCGAATCAAATCACTCACCCCCATCACTGCGGATGGGGGCTGCTCAGCAGGCGAAGCATGGGGGCAGCTCGCCGGCCGATGGCCAGGACTGGTTCTTCTGGAGGAGCCAACTGAGCAGGTTTACGACCTCGCCGTTATTACAGCGCCCACATCACGCAGTGTGGTGCCCTTCCTCAAGCAAAACGGCCAGGTGATTGCGCCCCTAGGGTTCTCGGAGCCCCAGCTTGAGAGGCGTCTCCAGACTGACCAGGCTTCAGTCTGGAAGACAGCTACGACCGCTCCTGATGAATCCAGTTTCAGGTCACTGGTGATCGTCCATGCATCTCCCCCCTCCAGCCGGACGGTTGATCTCATCTCCCGCCTCGGGGCCTCCCTGAAACATCGCCCGACCTCCTGTATAGGGTTCAACGAGGTATCCAAGATGTCACTTGTAGACGCTGATGTCGTTGTTTTGGCCAGCTTGGACAGCGCTCTGTTCATGATGCGGGATTCCACCAGCGAATCTGTGTTTGATGCAGCACGAGCCTTGCTACTACGGCCCCAGCTCAACCTTGTATGGCTCCTTGAAGGTGCCACTGACCAAGTGCCCGAGAACCCGGTGAGCGCCATGATCATCGGCCTGATGCGCGTGGCCCGCATCGAGAATGAAGGATCCCGCATTGTCACCTTGGATGTGCCAGTTAAATCTTCTCCCAATTCTGTGGTCCCAATCATTACGCAACTGCTGAATCGCGACATTGTAGACGAGGAATGGTCCCTGCGCGAGCACACCCTTTTTATCCCACGCATCGAAGCCGATGATGCACTGAATGCCAAGGTTCGTGGCGGTGTCAGTTCAGGGCCGAAGCTGGAGTCGTTCAGCAGACAGCGTCCGATCAAGCTGACCGTCGGTCAAGTGGGCCGGTTGGAGAGCTTGGTCTGGGAAGACGACGATGAGATGCTGCAGGATAACTTAGGGCCCGATGAGGTCGAGATCGAAGTCAAGGCCTCCACGGTGTCAGCCCGTGATGTCGCGGCCGCCACGGGTGCCATTGACGACTATCGCCTGGGCGATGAATGCGCCGGTCTGGTGCGACGCGTAGGGAACCTCGTGGATCCGACCAAGTTTCAGCCGGGCGACAAGGTGCTGGCCATTCGCCCGGGTCAAGGGGCGCATCGCTCGGTCGTCCGCAATCCAGCCTCGTGGTGCTTCCGACTGGGACCTATGCCCTTCGAGGACGCGGCAGCTCTGCCCCAGATCCTGGTCACCCCTTACTATGCATTGATCAAAATCGCCCGCCTGCAAGCCAAGGAAAGCGTGCTGATTCATGCCGCGGGCAGTGGGGTGGGCCAGATGGCCGTCCAAATTGCCCAGATGGTGGGCGCCAGTATCATCGCCACTGCCAGCTCAGAGGCGGAACGCGCCCTATTAACCAAGCGATACGGACTGTCAGCAGATCGGATATTTTCGTCGCAGGACCTCAGCTTCGTGGATGGGGTGCAGAAGCTGACCAGCAGCCGCGGCGTGGACGTCGTTCTGAATAGTCTCACGGGCAAGCTGCTGCATGGATCCTGGCGTTGTGTGGCCGCATTTGGCCGGTTCGTGGAGATCGGTACGCACGACATCCGGGAGAATGCCATGCTGGAAATGGCACCTTTCCAGCGCAATGTCCTATTTGCGGCCATTGACTTGGTGAATCTGTATGCCACCGACCAGGCCCTTGGGGCCCGTCTCTTCCAAGAGGTCTGTGACTTGTGTCATGTCGGCAAGCTGGGGCTCCCCGAAACTATCCGGGGCGTGTCTTATTCCGACGCCCCTCAAGCCTTCCGTCTCGTGCAAACCGGGGAGCACATTGGCCAAGTGGTACTGGTCGCTCGCGAAGACACGCAGGTGCCCGTCAGGCCTGCCACCTGGAGTCGGCGCGCCAACCAGTTCCACCCAGATAAGACCTACCTGCTGGCAGGAGGTCTGGGAGGGCTGGGCCGCACCTTGGCGGAGTGGATGCTGCAACGCAACGCTAAGCATTTGGTCTTTCTGTCGCGGTCTGGCGAGTCTCGCGCTGAGGCCAAGGCCACCGTATCGTGGCTGCGGGCACACGGTATTGACGTGACCGTGTATAAGGGGGATGTGGCCAATCCGGCCGATGTGCAAGCCTGTGTTGGTGGAATTAGCAACCTGGGTGGAGTCTTCCATGCGGCCATGGTGCTGGCTGATGCCGCATTGGAAAACATGACTTACGCGCAATGGCATCAGTGCGTACAGCCCAAGGTGGTTGGCGCCTTCAACCTCCACCAGGCCACCAAGAGCCTGCCCCTGGACTTCTTTGTGACATTTTCCTCGGTTTCGGCCTGCTTTGGCACGCGGTCCCAGAGCAATTACGCTGCAGCCAACACCTATCTTGATGCTCTGATGCGGTACCGACGCCAGATTGGGCTGCCTGCTTCCACGATGAACTGTGGTCGCATCACTGGCATGGGTGTCGCTGCCGAGGCAGCGGCCTTGGAGCGATTCATGGAGCAAGAAGGTTTTGACGGCGTCAACGGTCAAGAGCTGATGCAGCAAGTCGAAGAGGCTGTGTTCGGGGATGGCCAGTCCCAAGTGGTCTCCGATCGGGGCGTTGACCTCTATCAGACAATAACCGGAGTCATCCTCACGCGTGACGACGTGTATTGGGCCGCCCATTCCCTTTTCAAGAACCTCTATCAGAACCATGACTTCGATCGGCATTCAGGCCAGAAGCCTGGAGAAGTCAGCTTGCCCGTTCTTTTCGCGCAGACTACAGACCCGGAACAGCGGGCTGGTCTGTTGCTGGAGCGCTTTGTCGAGAAGCTGGCCGTCTCTCTGGGAGCCAGCAAGGAGTCGCTGAAACCGGCGGATCCCATCTATGGACTCGACTCGTTACTGGCGGTCGATCTGCGCAACTGGTTTACCAAGACCCTGGGCGTCGACGTCGCTTTATTCGATGTGATGGGGGCTCCGTCCATTCGTGTTTTGATCGAGAAGGCCGTGCGCCTGTACGGCGAGTCGGAGAAGAAGACTGGCCAGTCCGCGCCCAAGAAGGCCGATAACGCTGCTGCTTCTGCATCCTCAAGCTCGTCCCCAGGAAGCAGCGACAAGGTCACCACCATCGGCATCCCTACGGCAGATGTGTCGCGTCCTTTGCCTTTGTCCACCTTCCAGCACCGTCTCTGGTTCGCCCATAGCTTTGCCGATGACAAATCCTTCCTGAATATTCCAGTGACCATGCACCTGCGCGGGACCCCGGATCTCTCTCTCGTCCGTCAAACGCTATTCGAACTGCAGACAAGAAACCCAATCCTCCGCACGGCCTACCAGGAGGGAGACGAGTATGCGGAGCAGACGGTCCTCCCTCCCTCTCCGTTGACGGTCAAGTTCCGGGATGTGTCTGCTGCAGAAAACCCAACAGAAGCCCTCCAAGCCCTGGTCTCCACGCTGAAGCGCATACAGCTGAACATTGAAATCGGCCAGCTGATCGATGCCACCCTCGTCAAGGTGACACCAGGAAACTATGCACTGGTGCTCATAATGCACCACATCTGCACTGACCGCGCCAATACCGATCCCCTCCTCACGCAGATATCGACTTTGTATGATACCCTGCGCAGTGGCCGGAGTCTCAATTCCCTGCCTGCCCCGAAGATCAATTATGCCGACTTCACTCTGTGGCATAATCAGCTGCTCGAGTCCGAGTCGATGGCATCCCATATTGACTACTGGCGACGCACGCTAGCCGGCATTCCTGTCGCCAGTCCTCTGCTCCCCTTCGCCTTGACCGAACGCCCCGCGGTCGACGATTACTCGCGCGAGAAGCTCGCCGTCCAGATTGATGCATCTCAACTCAAGCGAATCAAGCGAATCTGCACTCAGGCCCAGAGCAGTCCCTTCCAGTTCATCTTTAGCGCCTTCCGGGCCTTCCTCTACCGCTTCACCGAAGATCCGGACCTGACCATGCTGATGGTAGATGGCAACCGGCCACACGCAGAGTTCAGTGACTTGTTAGGCTTCTTCGTAAACATGGCTCCCATCCGATGCCAGGATCCTTGCGTGGGTACCTTTGAGCAGCTGCTTCGCACCATGAGCGGGCGCATCCGTGAAGCCATGTCCCACAGCATGGTTCCCTTCGATGTGATTGTCAGCGAGACCAAGGTCCCCCGGAGCCTAGGACATTCTCCGTTGGGTCAGGTGATGGTCAACTACCAGCAGCCTGAGGGCCAGGCCGTTTATCAAGCCGGCGACTTTGTTTTGCACAAGCTCGAGGCTGAGAACATGCCTTCGGCCTGTGAGCTGAGCCTGGAGGCGCGCGAAGATGCAGAGCACATGCTGCAACTGCAGCTGGAATACTCTACCACCCTGTACGGAGCGGAAGACATGCAGCGCTTCTTTGAGAATTTCCACACCTTCTTGTGCTCCCTCATCCAGGACCACCGCCAGCCTATTCCGAGTGTTTCTCTTGCCGGCGCAAGTGAAATCGAGCGGCTGAGCGTCCAATTTTGGAATCACCCGCTGCGGCCCCATAGCTGGCAGGACACTTCGATCATTGGAAGAGTGCTCGGCTTTGCCGACACCCAACCAACGGCTGTGGCGGCGAGCACATCCGAGGGCGAGAGCATCACCTATCGGGATCTCGTGTTTGCGGCCCGGCGCCTGGCTTTCTCGCTGCAAGATGCAGGCATTCGTCCAGGACAACATGTGGCCATCCTGGCGGAACCCGGCATCCCCTTCGTGGTCTCCATGCTCGGTATATTGTTCAACCGCTGCGGGTACCTGCCCATGGACTCGACTATGGCGGTAGGTCGCTTGGCATTCATTGCGGATGACTCTGAAATGGGATTGTTGCTCTTTGATGAGGCCTGTCGCGGACTGGCATCCCAGGTCCGGGCCCAAAGTCAGGGACCTTATGCCCTGTTGAGTATCCGCGATGCCACAGCCACCTGCGTCCTGTCTGATGTGCATCATCCCCTTCCCAGCGACCCGTGCTACATGTTGTACACCTCGGTAAGTTAACATAGGCTGTCACATCTAAGATACGGCTCACGAAGGCTAACCCACGGATCCCCTTATCTCTCCACGCAATACAGGGTAGCACTGGAACTCCCAAAGGCGTCCGCCTGTCCCAGACAAACCTCCTTGAAATGCTTGCAGCCGCACAGCAACACTTTGATTTCAATTCGAGAGACCGGTTCCTACACCAGATCTCTCCCTCATTCGATCTATCTGTAGGAGAGCTATGGTGGGCCCTGACAGCAGGAGGGCAGCTCTGCATTGCCACCAAGGCTACACGCCGCAACCCCGTACAGCTGGGTGACTACATCCGCGAGTCCGCCGTGACCTTCACTTACTTCACGCCGACCCAGTTGGCCCTCGTTCTTGAGCACAATGGCGCCGCCCTAGCCGCAAATCCCAACTACCGTATCTCTCTGCTCTGTGGCGAGCGATTGCCCGCGCGCCTGGCCGACGCCTTTCACAAATTAGGCACCTCGGCCACGCTGTACAACTGCTGGGGACCCACCGAAGCCGTGGTCCAGACGACCATCCATCGCTGCGACGGACCGATGGCAGAGCAGCTCAACATCCCCATCGGCTATGCCCTCGGCAACTGCCGTCATTACATCGTCGACGCCACCATGAACCCGTTACCGCCGGGATTCGTGGGCGAGATCTGCATCGGCGGTCCGCAAGTGGCCCAGGGCTATTGGAATCGTCCCGAGGTTAACCGTAAGCAGTTTGTGCGCAATCCCTTCTGCAGCCTCGACGATGAGGAGCGTGGCTGGACCATGCTCTTCCGTACGGGTGATCGTGGTCGGTTCTTGCCCGACGGCCAACTAGAATTCCTGGGCCGCATCTCGGGTGATAAGCAGGTCAAGCTGCGCGGGCTGCGCATTGATCTCGGGGAGATTGAACATGTCTTGCATCGCGAATCCTCTACCTCTGAGGGACAGGGAATCGTTGATCTGGCTGTCGTGGCCCGGACGGAGGACGAGGACCCAGCTTCCCTAACGGATGATCGACAGCTGATAGCTTTCGTCGTGCCCAAGAAACCCCTGCCCACCAACCACGAAAAGGCCGCATATGCTGTGCTTCTGCAGGCACGGGCCAAGGGTTCCTTGAACGATTACATGCTGCCCAGTGCCTACCAGTTCCTCGACGCTCTTCCAACCACCACCAGTGGTAAAACCGACCGACGTAGTCTACTTACATGCCCGGTCGAGTTGACTCGTCCGATCCAAAAAGCAGCGGACAGTTCAGCCTCCTCTTCCGCCAGCCCGACGGCCTCTGGTCAGACAAAGCAATCGGCTCCGCAGAAGGGACAGCCAGAGACCCTCGACGCGGTCCGCCGTGCGTGGCAGGCCATATTAAAGCTAGACGCGCCACCTGACCCCACTAGCCACTTCTTCCAGATGGGAGGCCAGAGTCTGCTTTTCCTACGTCTACAAGGCAGACTGAGAAGGGAATACCCAGTGACACTAAGCCTGCAGGACATGATCCAAGAACCTACTCCCAAGCACATTGCCGACTTGATCGACCGACAGCTCCGTGGAGCAGAGGCCCCCAGCCAAGAAGGGACGAAGAACGACGACGACAAGACCAAGCCAAAGAAGTCCATGAGCAGTCACAGCGCAGAAGCCATTGATTGGACTGCAGAGACAACCCTTCCCATGGATGATCGCTTTCATCCTTCCGAATCTCATCCTCCTGCAGCCGTGACCAACCTCCTACTGACCGGTGCCGATAGCTTCTCGGGTGTCCATCTACTAGCCCATATCCTTACCCAGCGGCCCGGTGTGACTGTCTACGTGCTGGGCAGCTATTCTCCGCTCGATCATGGACAGATTTTCCAGAAGTTCATGGAGTACAAGCTGCTGAATGGGGCCCTCACTCCGGAGCGCATCCTGACAGGCATCCAAGTCGTTCCCGGATTCCTAGCCCATGAATCCCACTTTGGCCTCGCTGCTGCCGACTTCCAACGCCTTGCCATCTCTATTCATGCGATATACCATCTGGCCTCCGAGGTGTCGCTGCTCAAGACATACCATGATCTCAAGCACCTCAACACGACTTCAGCGCTTACCCTCATCGAGCTGGCTAATCTGGGGGCCCGGGGCAGCCGTATTCATTACCTGTCCACCTGGAGTGTTCCCCATCTGCAATCCTGGGAGCAGTCGCAGCGCAATTTCTCCAGCATCCAAATCGATGAAATCAGTCCCATCCACTTCGCTCCTCCTGCGACCGTTGACAATGGCTACTTCAAGACCCGCTGGGCTACGGAGATGCTCCTCACGCGGGCCGCTGCGCGTGGGTTCCCTGTCACCATCTACCGTTCGTCTGCCATCTCGGGCAACACCGTGACTGGCGTCCCTTCCTCTGACCAGGACATCGTACGTGGTATGGTTATGGACATGGTGCGTCATGGGGTCGTCCCTCAGGCTGGCACGTCCGATGTTCCTTTCGTGGTCGATTTCATTCCCGTCAACTATCTCGCGGACGTATTGGGACATCTAACCGCGGTGCACGACACCACTCGACCCGCCGGACTAGAGGTCCTCCACATTACCAACCCCAAGCCCCTCTCGCTCGACCAACTGCCTCGCCTGGCAGCAGCCATTCGAGGTGACGGTCACAGTGCTCGCTCCGTGAGCGTGGAGGGCTGGCTCGAGGCGCTGGAGCAGGCAGTCGGCGAAGATGAGCAGCTACGTCTCGAGACTTTGCGAAACTATTTCCTCAATGGACATAACATGTTTGCTCTAAATTGCCGCAAGGCAAATGCCTTACTGGCACAGAAGAAGGATCTTGTGGCTTGCCCCCCTGTGGATGGAAATTATTTGAGAGACTTGTGGATGGGGATTGCGTAGAAGCTAGTACTATTTGTGTTTTGATTTGATTGTTTCATTGCTTTTGGGCCCTAAAACCTAGTTAGTTGTATCTACATAGGTCATCTTGACGGGCCTGTTCTTCCTGAAAGGCGTGTTTGCTGTTGTTGCAAATAGTGAAGTAGTGTGTCTAATCTGAATGACAAGATCAGTCGTGATGAAACTTTTTGGCATGTCAACTCAAATCCCTAGTCGAGCACGTAGCTCTCCACGTCACGGTGGCTTTCTGATCTCATACATGTAGGCTCTTGACGTCTTCCATGTGAAGCTTCACGCTGCATGGGTCTTTTGATAGCATTTCCTGGTTCAGGACCACACTTAGGGAGAGAGAGTTTGTTGAGTTTGTTGAGTTCAGGGTTGCATACCGCCGACGTTTCATTTCCTTCAAACAGTTGAAAAATGTATGAATCTAGTTCCTACCGCCTTGTATTAGACTAGACCCCTTTGTGACTGATGTATCCGCGGATGAGTCGACCTGGCAAGGTACGACTAGGCTCACGGGAGCGGACCGAAGGCAACCTTGAATCTCTCGTCATGTAACCCTGATCCACCTCATTCTCTCCGCGGACCAAGTACCCAGGATCCGCTAGCACAACCTCCAACTCGTCCCTGACGCCATGACTTGTTGAAAAGTCCGTGAGTAAGCTTAGTCCAGTAGTCGAATTACTTCACTATCAATCTTGAACAAGATGTCCTTCTCCACGTTCCGCTCCGCCACTGGCGCGCCAACCAGCGAGTTACATGTAGACTTCTGTGGTCTATACTCTATGGCCCCGTCTAGGCAACTTGAGTAACAAGGTAATGGTAGTTTTGGCCTAGTGATGACAGCCTTGAGTCGCCAAACGGCGTGTGGCCAACACTCCCATTCTCATCTTGCTTGGCGAGTCTCCATCGCAGACAGTATGCCATTCTGGTCCGGATGGAGTCTTGACGCGATATCCGGCTAGCTGTGAGGTCGTCATCGAGTGCGATTGTTCCACTCCCTATCCGTCATGACTATTACCATAACTTTTTCAGATAGTATGTATATAGAGGGCCTTCGGGAGAATGCTGTTAGATCAGTCCATTAGCCAATCGAACAGAAATTAGAATCCGCCCTGAAGCAAGATGCGGTCTCATCTGCAGTCTGTCGTCCTTTTCTCACTCTGCCTCAGTTCGGCGGTGGCCAGCCCGTATATTTACCATCGCCGGCCGGTCTTGCAAGAGTACCTGGGCCCTGAGGCGGATCAAAACCCACCCCAGCCGACGGAGCCATATGACTACGTGGTAGTCGGTGGTGGAGTAACTGGCCTCATCGCAGCCGGCCGCCTGGCTGAACATTACAATGTGGCCGTCGTGGAGCGGGGCGGACATTATGAGGAGATGACAGGCAATTTGAGTCAAGTTCCGGGATACACAGAACTCTTTGACAACAGCAATACTCCTCCCCGCGATGATGTGGAATATTGGTGGGAGATCCCCGGAACGCCGGTATGAGAATTGGCCCTTTTCCCCCGACCCAATCTCTTCTTTCCATCACATAGCAGAGCACTGACTCCTCATTGTATAGGAAACCAATAACCGCGCCTTGAACTTCACTGGTGGAAAGATGGTCAGTAATCTCCCCGGCGCTGCCATTACTTCGGTGAACTGTTACAATATTGATCTGACTGTTGAGATAGATTGGTGGCAGTCATGCCTTCTCCTATTTTGGTTACCTGCGTCCAACCTACGGAGCCATGCAAAAATGGGCCGATGAGGTTGGGGATCAGTCCTGGACCTACCCCAACACAGAGGAATATTTCGACAAGTCCATCAAATTTACTCCTCCTAATTCCACTACGCGCTTGGCCAATGCTACACCCGAGTATGACTCCAGCCTCAAGGGCACTGGGCCTCTGGAGATTACCTACCCGCGCTGGGTGCACCCCTTCAGCACTTGGTTGGCCAAGGCCTTTGATGCTCTGGGGGTCAAGCATACCCTGAGTTATGCCAATGGCGAGCTTCTTGGCTCCAGCTGGATCCTAGACACCATCAACAGCACCGACGGCACCCGGAGCACCTCCTGGACAGCCTACGTCAAGAATGCCCCGCCGCCAAAGAAGAAGCTCGATATCTTCACCTTCACCCTCGCCGAAAAGATTCAGTTCGATGGGACCAAGGCCACGGGAGTGGCCGTCACCCGCGAAATTCCCAACAAGTCCGGCGGTCCCCGGTCAATTGAGCAATTCACCATCGAGACGAAGAACGAATTGGTTCTGGCTGGTGGTGGTGTACTCTCCCCGCAACTCCTTATGGTCTCAGGTGTTGGGCCAACCAAACAATTGCAAGAGTTGAACATTGATCCAGTCCTAGAAAATGATGCGGTGGGCCAAAACATGCACGATCACATTGTCTTCGCAGTCGCCTATCGGGTGAAAACGCCAACCAGCTCAATTCTGTTGGATGATGAGAAGCGCTGGCATGAAGAAGATCTGTTCAAAGAGAGCGTCACCGGCATGATGACCAATTGTGGTCCCGACTTTGGAGGTATTGTGGATATCCCCAGCGATCTGCGAAACTTCTCGTCATCGACCAAAGCAGGTACGTGCTAGATGATCTTGTTTTCTATCACACTTTAGATGGGTTTACTGACGGGGCTTTCGAAGACCTGGGTTCCTTGCCCAAGGACTGGCCCGAACTTATTGTCGTTTCCTTCCCGCTGGGTCATGACTACCCAGACGATGGCTACAACTATGCCTCCCTGATGGGCGTTCCTATGACTTCCATGTCAGTGGGAAATATCACTCTCAGCTCCACCAAGATGAGCGATAAGCCTATTGTGCACCCGCACTGGCTCACCAGCACGACCGATCTGGAAGTGTCAATTGCATCGCTCAAATACATGCGTCGGATCTTTGAAAACCCAGCCATGGAGCCCATCATTATCGGCGATGAGTTTGCTCCGGGCCCTGAAGCCGCCACCTGGGCTGAAGTTGAGCATGCCTTGAAGAACAGCTTCCGTTCGATGCATCACCCGGCGGCCACCCTGCGCATGGGTCGTAAGGATGACCCGAATGCCGTCGTGGATAGTCGGGGTTCAATCATGGGATTAGACAATGGTAGGTCACTATCTTTTCTCTTCTTTCCTTCCCTTGCGATTATCAGGTGAAAACGGTTGGCTAATCTGTCTACTTCTCTTCAGTCCGAGTTGTCGATCCTTCGGCATTCCCTTTCCTGCCCCCCGGTCTGCCTCTTGCCCCTGCCTGTAAGTTTACCTCTTACAGACCAGCTACCTACCAATGGAACTTGGGATACTAACATAATGCAGTCATGTTCGCCGAAAAGATTACCGATAACATCATCAACGACAAGAAGAGCGGAAAGAAGAAAGGCCACGATGAGCTGCGCACGGACTTGTAGATGATTAGGCTTTCAAAATAGTAGCCCTTATCTATGGAAATGGATCTATACTTGCGACAGGTGCTTTTGGCAGACTATACTGTCTAATTGTCACCGGCTACATTCACTTGCATCCATTGTTGTAGAATAAGACTCTGTATTAATGATATTATGGCCTCTCTTTGGTCGATAACTTCCCTCTACGTCCATGCTGTATGGGAGAACATGAGAGTTTGGAGGACGTGCAATGGGTTACTTCGGCGACTTTTGCCCACAGGATGAAACTACGAGCTTCAACTCGAACGATCCGGGGGCAGCACAACCGTGGGAGCTAAGCTTACCAAAAATGCTAGACATCTTCAAGCGCTTACAGAGACAAAACGAAAGTCGTTTTCCCTTATGTTACAGAGCTAGTTGCTCTAAAACGGCATTCCAAATAAGGCAATATTACCTGGAGCAGAGTCGATGACCTCACATTGCGCGCGGCCAAGTTGACGTCCCGTTCCACTTGCAATCACGATATTTGGCTCAACGCTAAGTTATGGTATGCCACTTTTCCCCTTCCTATTCATAGCGCAGTACAACTTCCGTTCTCAATTTCCGTGTGACCAAGTCTTCTATCAAATTGTATGTCCGCTGCTGGGTCATGATAAACGAGAGGAATATGTTTGGAAAGCGGCCTTCAACCCTCATAATGTCTTTTCATGTATATAAGCAGAAATAAAAGAGATTTCTTACGTGATTCATGCAGTTGATCTTTGTTCGAAATGAGGGGAAGGTGATAGCCAGTCCTCCAGTATCTTCACAATCCTATCGTGCTGATAAGCCTTCGCCGCCAAAAGTGCTTTTCGTCCCCCAACATCCTCGGGGAGAACATCAGCTCTTCGGACTGCAAGTAACCGACGTACCACGTCTTCATAACCATTCAGTGCGGCTTCAGACAAGGGCGAAAACCCAATTCTGTCTTTCAAGTCAGGATTGGCATTTCCTGTAGACAGAAGTATGTGAACAACAGCTGTGTGGCCGCTAGTGGCAGCGTGTATGAGTGGCGTAATTCCGAGTGAATCTGCTGCATCGACATTGATTCCTTCTGTTGAGAGTAGCTGCATAACAATATCTTCGTGGCCTCTAGATGCAGCGTATGCAAGTGGTGTCATTCCATACCAATCTTTGACATCAGGTTCAACGTTTTCTTTTGAGAGTAGTTGTATGGCAATGTCTGTGTAGCCTCCATATGCAGCGTATGCAAGTGCTGTCTTTCCATCCAAGGCTTTTGCGTTTGGATCAGGCTTCCCTGTAGCTAGAATTTTATCCACAAGGGTCTTATGGCCACTCCATGCGGCGTAGAGCAAAACGGCTTCTGCGCACGGGCTATTCAAGTGAGAGAAGAGGTCATCCATGGTAATTAGTAGCTCTACAATCTCACCCCATCTATTTAGGGCTGCGCATTGAAGCATTCTGTTCCAACCTTGCTCAGAGAGGGGTACCTAGAGACGTAATAACTAACTTTAGAATAACGCCAGACGCTAATGGGGCTTCTTGAAAGGGAAATCGAGGATGAGCAACACCTACCTCCGTGCAGCTCATTTCCAAGAGCGACTTAATCATGGCAGGATTTGAGCGTTCGATGGCCAGTATCATTGGCTTCTTGCCAAAGTTATTTGTGGAACTTACATCAACGGGCTGTGTTGCTAACAGTCGATTGAACACAAGCTCGTCATTACGCTCGATGGCGGAGCATAAATGAGCAGTGATATCGGCATTGTCTCTCATTATCAGTAAATCAAACATCTTCTCCCGTCCATATTGCATAGCACAGTGTAATAAAGTCTGATTAGCCATGTTCTGGACACTCAAATTTATACGATCCATTGTGATAAGTTTGGTGAAGATATATTGTTGCTCAAATCGAATGGCGTAATGTAAAGGCGTGTCGCCGTGTACATCGGGTGCATTCAAGTCAATCTCGCGCATAGCTAACATTCGGTCGAACATGGAGTCGCGGCCGTACTGGATCACGTAATGTAGATACTGCTTTCCATCTTTGTCCTGTAGATTGAGGTTGACATTGGTACGTGTCATGAGGCTCGCGAACATAGCTTCTCGATCAAATTGGATGGTGTAACGGAGCGCCATTTCGATGCAAGCGGTAGAGGAAGCTGAAGCGTCTTGCAGCTGGCTTCGGATGATGGAATCGAGAAATTCTCTATGGTCATTCCTAACAGCATAGGAAACCAGAAAGTCAAGTTCACGCCTGCTCGGTATAGAACCACGTGGCTTGTCTTTAAATATTGCCAGAATTAAATTCGATAGGTCATATTGGGCAAGGATATAAGGAAGACATGCAGATTCCGTGTGACGACGGGCTTTGTACCTCTCGAAAAAATTGCTGCAACGCTTCCAGCGAGAGAAATTGAAGTTGCCAAGAAAGCATCCCTGGCGGATGCCACCCTTCTCTGCAGCTTCAGAGTTTTGAAGGACATTGTGGACCGCGTATTGTAGGAATGGGACCTTTCGAGAAACAGAGCCCCGTAAGGCCTTGAGCTCATCCCTGGAAGCAGATGCAATATACTGCTCCTCTGCAATGCGGTTGCTAGTTTCGGAAAGGAGGATGTTGTTGCAACACTGCTTCAGTTGATCATGACTGGAAGCCTCAAAGTTCCCCTGATGCTCAGGCCAGAGCTCGCGCAATCCATTCTCTTTCAGCAAAAAATCTCGGACAGACTCGTGTATAATTTGAACGGTCTTTGCTTTTGATCTAGTTGTCTCAGCGAGCCCTTTGGAGGCGCTCAGTACGAATCGATCGATATCCTGCTCAGTTACGTCTTCAGGGTCCCAGGCCTCCGTCAAATTGTCGGGATCGGCAGAAAGGATGGCAAAGTATAATTCCTCTCGTTTGAGCGGTCGTCTTGCAAATAGAATCCACTGAATACCAAGTAAGAGATCCTCCATGTTCGCAGTATCCCTGGTCAGTATGTCTTTGAAAAGATCACTGAGTTTGGCCGGAATCTCATAAAGTCTCTTGCGGAGGGCATGCAAGCGACCGCGCTGGAATTCGCGGTTCAAGATCCGCACAACAAGTACCATCCACAAGAAGATCCCTGAGGCCTTCGCCTGTATCTCGCGTCGAATATCTTCGGCTTGCTTACTGCGCCCAATTTTGAGCTCGCTTTGCAGGTATCGAGTGATATCGTCAGCGTGACCTTCCTGATCCTCCAGTATCATTTCAAGCCCCTTCTCGATAGCAATGTGGGGGTAATGACGGCTTGAGAAGCAGACGTGAAGGTGGACTTTTGATGATATCGCATGCTCTCCAAGGGATTGGATGAAACCAACCATGGCGCGGACCTGTTCTTCTTCGCATTCGTCAAGAGCATCGATGAAACAGATGACACGACGACCGCCAAGTTGTGAGATTGACCGGCGGAGGGTGCACTGAAGTAACTCATGACACCAAGGATACTTCTCGTCCCAGCGCTCAAAGTTAAGTTCGTCTAGGAGTACCTGGAGTTCTGGGACTTTTTCCAGCATTTGCGCCAACAAGGACCGGTACATCCCCAATGTTGATTTTTCCAAATCTTCTCCTCTAGCATTGAAGAAAAATGAGAGGACCTTGGTGTCTGCATCCACTGTTGCATCGGCCTGTAGGAATGCGAATTTCATCATAGTGGATTTGCCACTCCCTGCCTTTCCCTTGATCCAGAGAAAGCCACGGTGCTCGGGGAAACGATTGCTGTCCATCCAGTTCACGTATTCCTGCTCCTCAAGAAGCCATTTGCAGGTTTTGGCATGCGCGGGCTTTATCGTAGCTTGCCGACTCTCGTGTTGATCAGGTCGCAGAGCATCCATCATCGATGCGCGGTGCTGGGCAGCCGTGATTGCCTCAGGAACAGCAGGGTCAGAGATAGGCCCAGGGCCGCAGACACCGATCGTAGCAAGCAGCTGCTTTGCATATGCAGCCGCGGTTGCAGCCGCATAGCCCTACCTGTCCTTGTTTTTATGCGAGTCTGAGTGGTCCGAAACACCTCGAATGACAAGACATGGAAAGTTGTCCATCAGCCCAGCCGCCTCCATTTCGAAACATAATATGCCATTGAGCTCCGCTGCTAACAAATCGCGGGTTTGTGCATGCTTTATCACTTGGTTCCCGGATGCGATCAGGCCGTAGTGAACAACCGGCCGATCAGAGCTGAGTGTCGACCGGATCACTAGTTTTTTTCACGGTCGCAAGACTTGCAGGTAGGCTCAGCTGGGTCATGCTCGTAATCTGAAGCAAAAAGAAGGTCTCTCTGAGAGCCGGGGGACGTGAAAGTTTCTACCATCCGCGGATTACGCGCCAGCATCTCAGATATCAGGACGGGTATCTGGCTGCCATTGCGGAGGTCCGCCGCCCGAAGGTTACTGACTGCTGTCAGGAGGGCAGTGGATGGCTTATTCAAAGTGCTTGTTCTTTCGAAGTGCCCTTGTCTGATGGCCTTGCCATAGTTGTATTGCACCACGCCCTCACAGCAGGGAGTGGGAATGCTCACCACGACATCCCCAAGCCGGATATCGACCGATGCAGACGGCACCCCTCCCCCGATCCCGACCATAACTAGATGACGAATCGATCCAAAACTGATGAACATATTGCTGGCGACAGTGGCTGCTGATGTGGTGCCATAGATGCCGGCGGGAAGACAAGCGATCACGATATTATGACGGCCGATGGACCCGAGGGTATACGAATTGCTGTCTCGCGCGTGGGTGGGCAAGGCTGGATGGATCTGATCCAGCATGGCCATTGCTGCCGCTGCCTCAATGGCAAGAGCACACACCCAGCCGATGGTGTAATCATCGTGGGAGAGTCGCCTGGGGCTCTCTCCCAAGTCGAGTTTCCTCCGCTTCGGGGGGGGGGGGTTGCAGGAGATGAGGCTGTCGATGCTCCATGCGAGGAGATGTAGGGATGTGACGGGCTTTTCCCACAGCTTTGACTGATTAGAACAAGCGTCTCTATGCCCGGGTGTTGGTGAATCAGTCTCGAGAGGGTTTTTTTTTTATTCTGTGCAGATGAGGGAAAGGTGGAAGAAAGCCATCAATTGATAGCGCCCAAGTGTCCGACCGGCGAATCTCTCAGTCCCGCCAGGTCTGATGGCGTGGCAGTGTACTTAGTATGCATTTCCTGCATATAATCACACTAAGTGCAGAGCTTGCAGTGGGCTTGATGCCTGATTTGCTGAACTGGCAATTTTCCACCATTACCTTCTTCCACTCCCGCTTCATGATCATCCCACGCCGGTCTGAAATAGCCCTTCCATTTGCTCGCATCCGTAGAACGATGTCTGGCGCTGAACACTCTTCATGCTTGATCCAACACATATACTTTTAGTAATGGGTGCATGCTGCTGAGTGGACAATGAATGAATATAGACCATCAATTTCATTTCTCATTCCAACAGAATATCAATGTTTTCCTGTCTCTCTACACGGTCAGATCCGCTCAGCCTCGACCACTCCCAGTCCATCGCCGGCGCGCGTCCAGAATTTATTCACTCGCAATCCCACCGAGTCCAGCAACCGAGTCCACTGCTGCGTCGTCCGTTCCAGTCCCGAGCAAAACACCATCACCGCCACGTCTGTCATGCCGTGAATCGCCGAAGCATTCCGGTCGGGTACAATATATTCTTCCATGATTAGCTTGGAGTAGCCCGGCTCCATCGCTTCCACGACATAGTTGAGGATGATCCGGGCTTTCTCATCGGACCAATCGTGCATGACATTTTTGAAGTAGTAGACACGAGCACCTTCATACCCTCGTCAGGTCACTGGTCGTTTTCACACATATTGGAAAAGATGAAGGATCTTACCTTTGACGGGCTGTTGCTCCGTGAAGAAGTTGTACTTGACGGGGACAATGTTGGCCCCTTCCAAGTCGTGCGCCCCTCGCACCTCGTCGATCACCACCGGCAGATCCTCCAACACCAACTTCCCTGGTGCATCGGGGAACCGTTTCTTAAATCCCAGAAGGTCATGGCCTCGGCCACCACCGATGTCCACAATCAAAGCCCGATCGGGGTTGCTGTCAGCAACTGCCAATACCCGATCTTGCACAGGGAACCAGTCCGCCCAGTGCGGGCGATCCGCACGCTGGCCTTCCATAAAATTGTTGAACCGAGCTAGGGCTTCGGAATTCTGGCAGAGCCACATGAATCCGTCTTCTTTCATGTTGTTGGTGTACTGTAGGGGCGCAAACAGAGGATCTTCGGGGTTACGGTAGTTGGTGACTTGAAGGTATTCAGGGGTCTTCTGGATGGTGGGGAGGAACTCGCAGAACCTGATGCAAAGCTGCGTCTTAGTGACCATCACGAACAACTGAATTTCCCTTCCCCATATAGCTACTTACAAGGACTCCACCACTCCAACAGACGTTCGGTTGACCATCTCCTTGGTCACCGCGGTCGGCAAATACTCACCGGGGACCGGCTCATCGGCAAAGCCGAATGCCACGCAGAGACGCATCATTCGCTCTAGCATAGTTCGAGCAGTCAGCGTCAGAAGTTACTTGACCAATGCATAGCATAGGTCTCGAACATACCGACTAGGAGGGGATCCGCAGGCTTCAACGCTGCAAGCTCGCTCACGGGGACTGGGCTCGTTGCGTTGGCCAAAACAGGGAACACCTTCATGTCGTGAGCCACCTTCACAGCCATCAGGGCTGTCGGCTTTTTCATCATTAGCATAGGCGTTCATCTGAAGTAACCTAGCGGTTCAGGGCCTACTGACTCACCGTATATGCTAGTTTCAGAATCGCATCGCGAGGTTTCTCCAGCGCTCTCGCCAGCTGGGTTGCCTTCTCGAGAGCATCGATCCGGTTATATTCAGTTCCGTCAGCCTGAAAAGTTTCCAGCGACGACTGGACATCAGTCCAAATACTCTGGAGTGAATCTGTGTTCATCGTGTCAAGAGAACATGCTCTGAGATAGCGAAGGGTGATGTGGGAAGAACGGCCATCGACGACTCGAGACACCCCTTCTTTTATAATCCTTCGCCTCCCTGTTGCGGGGTGCGCTTGACCAAGGCTTCAGACATAGCGGGGGGTAGTGAGAATAGTAGGTCCAGTCCGGGAGGGTTTCCAACTGGCAGGTGGGTGGCATCCTGTAGCGTTCCTCGCCAACGCGAGCTAATTCTGAGGTGACCTGGCTGAACACCAGTAAGACGGTTCATTTGGTCCGGCTGTCAATAGTTTTAGGTCCCGCTCCGATGATAGTGACAGGTGGTTAAGCTCATTGGAGCCAGACATTATGTGCAATTCCTTCCACTTCGTCGATCACGTAACTAGCAAGTACCAACACCGTTTAAGAAGGAATACGCCTCAACCGTTTAACAGAGAGCAGTGGGGACCACAATGCCGCGCCAAGAAGATATAATGCTATGTCCCTGATGTCTCGTACTTGGTATGGAGCATTGCCCCGTCATTAATCTTCCCTCGTTTGCTGCCCCAAATCGGCTCCACCACCCGCAATTCCGCATCTTGGCGCAGCACCTCCTGACGTTCTGAGCTTCGCGGTCGAAGAGGAAATTGGTCGACACGGCTACGATTTACATCCCTACCAGATAGTCGTGCAGTAGTATCCCTCACAGGTTACTTTAACGCAATTTTGATACGAGGATGGTGAAATACGACATTGGGATGTGCGTGGAACAGAGCTTATCCAGGAGTCCGCAAAGAGAACACTCGAAAGGAAGGGGGGAGAAAAAAACATAATACGAAATGACTATATCCAATGATCTTTTAGTGGAGAATATTCGAAGGGGAAAAGAGAGGCTACGGTTTTAGTGCCAATCCTTCGCTGACGACGATACAGTGTCGATAGTTAGCTAATGAGTTAAACAGCGCCTGAGGGACCTGGATCATCTCCCATAGTATATAGTAGATTTGTTCTTGTTCGGTCCATCTTCACGTCTTCCTTGACATCTCAGCCTCTCCCTCATTCAATCGTCCTCGTCCAGTAGAAACCTGGTCCAAGCATCGCCTGTGGTGGGCAACATTTGCCGGTCCGCCGGGGAGAGATGCTTCCGCGGCTCTCGTGGGTCTCAATTTCCTATTCAGGGCCAAGTCCGATATGGATCAACCGCTGTGCGGATCCCGCTCCTCACACGGGACGACAATTGATACTAGAGCCTTAAACTCCTGTGGAGAATGTACCGGACCATGATTCCGATTGGTAAATCAAACGTCGATCGCAGGCAGCGATGCCGTGTCGGGGGTGACGGATGGATTCAACGTCCCAATCTTATTTGTCACTAAGAAAAAAACTATATATATAGCGGAGGGCTCAGACCACGGAACCTTATGTTAATATTCTTCTTTTTTAGAGGCGGAACGAGTGGGCAAGCCCACGATGGAGCCGCCTGCCACCTGGCTCAAACACCTGGATGCTCTTCCTAAGTTCCTACAGCTTGGATACAGTACGTAAGCACCAAGTAGTGTATGCTTAGGGTCCACTGTCGGCCTCAGCTTTCAACCCCCTCGACGCAAAGAGCGTCCGGTGCTCCTGCCACTACTCAGGCTTTCTAGAACCGCCCAGTAATTTGGAAGCATTTAGTGGTCCATGCCAACCTCAAATTTGGTGCTGCCCTGACGCCTGCCACAGTCCTTCCCTTGGCACGGCACGTCCCTCATCCCGTCCGATGAGGCATGAGAACCTACAAGGTTTGGCTGACTCCGACCGGTAGCCGTTTGAGTTAGGCTTAATTCGACTTCACCCATGGTTGAGGAACGACTAATTGAGTTCTGCTATGTATGATACGCATGCTTCTTGCAGCAGCGAGAGAAGGAAAGAGTGATCTGCGGCTTTCCGAAACCGGATCCATTGACGAGAATCGGCCGCAGATGGGCGTGGATAGCCTCTTTGTCTGGCGATGGAAGGCTAGTGCTAAATCCTTTGCTTTAGCGTGTGTTGGATTCCCTCTCCACTCCAGCTTCACCAATCTAGTCAGAGAAATTATGAGGCGGGTTTTCTTTTTCCTTGCTGCGTAACCGATAGTCTGCTATGTTTGTGTCACTGGATGCAAAGTGCAGAGCGACGGTCATTGTCGCCATTTCCTTTCCCTTGACTGCTTTTCCCCTTTTTTGGCCGTGTGGTAAGGGCTTCAACCATGTCGCAACGTTCGGACACAACATTGTCTCCGTAACCCCAACCGTTATTTCATCCCGTGGTTCTTTTTCCACTTTCACTCAGTACACACAATTCCCATTGCCTTTGGTGATCTTTTGTCGAAGAAAATGAGCTACAATCTCACCGCAGAGATGTTCAGTGAATGGGCAATAGGGCTGGTAGTCATTGCAGTTCGATTGTACACGCGCTTCTCCGTGGACCGTGGAATGTTCCGCTGGGACGATGTGTGCCTGGTGCTTGGAACGGTAGGATTTCAGAGACCAGTATGCCTTTTGCGGTGAAAGACGGGCTAATTAACATCAGCTTCTCTGGACTCTCCTTGTTGTATTCTTATATATGTGCACCGGTAAGCTGATTCGATTCGTACCGTGATTGGTTGACACTAGTTCATTAATACTCCATGCTTAGCTGTCTATGGCAGCAATATAGGCCTCAATGCCACCACTGCCGCTGAGGTACCCGATGATCAGGTCCCATTGTTAGCCAAAGGCTCGATCTATGCGTTTCTTGCCTGGCTTTCGTACATTCTCATGGTGTGGTCTTTCAAGGGGGTGCTTGTGTTTCTCTACAACAGACTCACGTAAGCATTAAGCTTAGACCCATTGCTTCGGGATAGGGATAGGCAT